TTTCTCATTCATGTCTTGTCAACAATAGTGCCGAGCTGGGAATTTGTGCCAATGACTTTTAACCCTAATTGGTTGTTTGTCAAATCAACATAAAATATCGAACTGAGAAAGTACACTAATGTCATATCCCTATTGGTTACTGAGGTTGGCTTCATCAGGCGATTATGAGGTTGACCTTAAATGGGGTCCCCATTAATTAATAAATTGATTAGAGAATAAAGCTATAAAATACGATTGGTAGGTTTGGTGGGCGCTGGCGTAATTCTTTCTGAATGTCATTAATTAATTGAAGATTACATCAATGTGTAAGGACTTTACAATCATTATGTCTCCTTAAACTACGACGGTCATATTTTCGAGCTGACTTTAGAGGTCCGACCTTAATTGATCATGATCCAAGCGCACATAATAAACCAACTTAATTAAGTTGCCAGGTCGGATGTTAGCAAGTGCAATATCGAGATGTCGCATTTTGAGGGATTTGAGGACTGAAGCAATATAATTTTAATAATCAATTTTATTACATATCAATAGGATAGAAATTTGTCACAATTTTTAAGAGTGATTGTTTCAATTAACTTGGACTTGAGAACTCCCAAAATGAGAATATTTCCCTTTTATAGCGAAAGTAAGTGGAGAATGTAATTCTTAGTTTCGGGTTCCAAAGCTACTTATTGAACTCAATATCAACTTATTTAGCACTTTGGGATTACTTGATTGGTGGATTTAGGCGGCAGCAAAGTCCTACAGTAACAAGTCAATTTACATGTGACATATGTTAATTGTACAGTTAATATAGTTGAGTTGACACTTGACACCGACCCTGCTCAATGCCAAGACATGAAATGCATATCACATTTATAGATTTTTATATATTGATTATAATAATATTTTTTTCAATCAATAACTAAATTTCCTGCACATAGAAGGATGTCAATTTTATATTTCTCATACTTTTGTAACCTATATAAAACGTCTACAAACATAATCTTGACTATTTTTCAAACAATCTTGCACCATGTACATAAAATTTGACATCAAGTTTGACACTATTATGAGATGACAGCTTTTTATATATTTATTTTAACAAGAATTTAAACAACTAATGACTCATTTTAAAAGATAATGGAGTGTCAAACTTGTGCTTAATTCTTTTTCAAATGGTGTATTTCTTTATATAAGTATAGCGATTGATATGACGTGGAGAAGCATTGGGGGAATGTGTGTGCCTTCCTGATTGAATTGGTTGTCACATATGGATGCCATGACGGTGTCAAAAGATGCACTTGTTCAATTATTATTAACCCAAAATTCAAAGATAAGAGGAGTGCATTGCATGCATGCATGCATGCGATTCGATAAGAAATAAAGCTAATTCTTCTAGCAGCCTCCGTCATCAAATCAACCATTTGCTCTTCTAAGATTTTTGTAGCCATACCTAACTCCCTCTTAATTAGTTAGATGTTTTAAGGATATACATGTGTACGTATACGTGCTGGGAGATGAAAGTGAGAACTCAAAAGACGAGCTAAGATCAACTTCTTGAATTTGCTGTCCCTCAATACATTTTTGACATCTTTGCACATCATCTTTTTCTTAATAAATGAAATGAGCCATTAAAAAAATATGCTCGCATCTTCCTATTAAGAGATAATGTGCCGAGACAAAAGAAAAAATGTATTGACAACAGCACTGAGCTCCGGAGGGGTGTGAAGTAGAAAGTTATCGACCCTCATTCCCTACCTTAAGAAGAGAGAGATACCTGCACCGATTTATTAAAAACCACCCTTCAAGTATATGTACTTCAGTTAAAGAGAGGGAGCTTCAAATGCCTAAAAATGGGAAACAAATTAATAATACATCTTAATTACAGGCAACAGGAAGCAAGTTCCAAGAACTAAGCAATTCAAACCCACATTCGGGTGGGTTAACTTGTTCAGCTACTTGAAGTAGGTTTAAAGTACATGCAGATGGGTGGATTGATCCTGAAGATGGAAAGAATTGCAGATGGTATGGTCCATATTCCATCACCGCATATCAAACCTGAAGCAACGGCGCCTGCATAATCTTCAGCGCCCTTCCTATTTATCCGCTCCCATACAAACAATATTACGGTGCCAACAAACATGTCAATCGCGAAGTAAGCACCAATATAAAATGGGACTGCCATTGCCATTGGAATAGGGATGAACTGGGAAACCTTTTTAGGGGTCATGTCTCTCAAGAGGTTTATGGCCAGAGCTGCCACAAAGAATCCAGAACATATAGCCAGACAATGCTTGGGAAGTTCAGAGAAGCCCTCCACTCCCAAAATGGCCATTTCCCTGAATATAACAGCATATGGTGCTTTGTACGGACTATCGGGGGTACCAATATCGAAGGCGCTCCAATACATCCAAAATGTGAGGGGTGCAATGACACAGCCCATGGCTGTTCCAATTAACTGGCTAACAAACATAGATTTTGCTGATGACAGAGTAAGGTAGCCAGTCTTAAAATCTTGCATTAAATCAGCAGCAGTAGAGACAATGGACATCATAACCCCACAAGCTGCCAATCCAGCTAAGACCCCACCACTGCTTCCGACCAGTGAAGCAATAATAAAGAGGCCAATCTTTCCATAAGTAGAAGCCAGACTCCAGTCCGTGAGCCCGGTACCGTACGAGTTGCAGAAGGCAAGGGCAGGTGCAATTATGTAGGAGCAAAGTACCAAATACCACTTAAGAGGTGGAAAGATCATTGGCATTGTAGCAGTAGATACAGCAGCTAGGGCAACATATCCCGAGGCTGCAAACCAGAAAGGTATCCCGTCTTTCAGGAAAACTGCATCTCTTTTCCTCTGCTCCACTAGTAACTTGGATCTGTCACTATCTGTTGAAAGTCAATTAGTTTTAATAGAAAATACTGATACAAGAGCAATACCATAAATGTCACAATTTGCCATATTCACCCCTGCATTGTGTTTGAAACAATGCCTACACATATGGATAACAGAAATTGATGGTGATTAGTGGCAAATGACAATCCTATGTAAAGTAAATTTTTTTCATTCATTATTATTCAAAAATTGAAGCTATGGGATGGCTTAGAGGTTGAAGAACAAGGTCACTAAATCTACTGTATGTGAATGAGTTTGT